TTAGTTTTGTCGAAAAATGTCAATAATCAAAGATCTAATACATTTATGCAGAAAACAGACTAAAATGATTTCTCTAGGCTCTTTTTGTGAAGTTTCTATCAAAACAGAATTTTTTCGGCTTCTGCTTCAAAAATACCAGATGCTGGCGACTATAGAAACTTTAAAATGGACATCGTAAAATATAACCAAGAAGCGACTCTTTGCTCGAATGGCAAGAATTTCGAACCCTTAAATTTGCGCCTGCTGTAACAGACTATACTTGATTTAGGATTTTCTGTTTTCTTTAACTGTTAGCTATCAAAATGGTTAATCGACGCGTTTTTGTTTTTCTTTCAATTGTGTTTGGTTGACTTCGGACGTTTGTTCGAAATGGTGATCGATTGTTCGCGCACCGACTTGAATGTTAGTTATGGTGACCTAAATTTTGGCTTCGGTGACCCAAAAAGAACAACCGTTAGCTTTCTCGTGTCACCAAAAACGATTCATTCACATTTTTTTGCACAACACCTCGCGGAAATGAGTGGTAAGTTTTTTTCTGTTGTTTCCTTTTTTCATAACTCTGTTTCAGTCCAAATTATTGGAGTTTTCGTCTTGTAGAGACAACTGACAACAAATGACAATTCGTAACAAAAGACAATTTGCCAAGCTTAAGATAAGCGAATTTAAGTTCGCTAAATTTAAGATTTTAAAAAATAATTGAAAACATTATGCTTTTCACTTAAGGTCGTCGGTGTGAGCGCGTTGCCGCTTCGCTTAATAACCGATTCTAAATTTCGTATAAATTCGTATCCTTTGGTGGCAAGCTCGCAACACGTTGACCAGGCTGCGGCGGTGAGTATGTTGCAAGTTGCCTTTGTGATGCAAGTTGTCTTTTGTTGCGAGTTATCTTTTATTGCTAGTTGTCGAATTAAGTTTTCGTCTATAGTTCTCGTAAAAAAAAATTCACGGTAGTCCCTAGCTCAACCTATTTGAGGTTGAATAATTTTGATGTGAAAATAATCTAGTGTCACTAATTTGGCCTTCAGTAATCTTGGCCAGACTAACGCTTTCATAGTCATCAAAACCCAGTGAAAATAGAATCCAGCTTTCAGTGGAAAACGAGATCCAAATCATGTAATGGTACAAATTTGGCCTTCGGTACTTGTCACCAGACAAGGCTTTCATTGTTAATTAGTTTCAATTATCTGAATCAAGTTTAGCTCATCAGTTTTATTCACACAGGAAAGGGAAATCATGTTGATTTTCTTGCTCTTTCGACTAGCCACTGAAAACTAACAATTATACCCACTGTGCAATCTATGAGTGAGAGTTTTCGGAGCCTTTTATCCCTCAATTTTATAACAGTAATCGTAGTAGGTTTCTTGGAACAAACTACATACCAACTTGTGATTGAAAGGCGTAGATGCTCGTTGTTATTGTTCCGGCCCCCCTCAAGGAACTATATATTAGTTTGTTTTTTTTTCCCGACCGATTTGACTACCTCAAAGATAGTAAAGGCTCAAATATGGTTTTATATCAAAGCCCTATTAGTCGTAGGTTGGATATCAAAAAATTCAAAAAAGTTGTCTGGGTTTTGAGCAATATTGATTTGAATTTTTCACATTTTCAGACCAAGTTTCATATATTTACTTAATTTAATGACACCTAACGAAATTCTGATGACACACTCATTTATACTGTGATGGCACACATTAGGACACATGAGGCATATGTTTGTCAAACACGAGAGCCATAGTAGATCAATGGTAGAAATGGCTAAACGGCTTGCAACCTCTGGCGATCCTCAGCAGATCCTATCACAGGCGTCTCTTCCTACTTGGGTGTCCCAGAAGACCTCAATCTTGATGAAAAATACTAGACCGACTGCTGAAAAATGCTATGCGAATAGACCAATACCGCAGGAGAAGATAACCCAACTAACCAAAACGATAGAAGCCCCCCAAGTAGCGACCAGGTTATATACGAATCAGAACTCGCCAGCTCACACAGTGCCACGGGTATCTTCAAGTATTTCAAGTCAATTCGCTGCCCCAATAGTTATCCACCGAAACTGCTATGGAACAAGGAGTCACATGAAAGTCCGCAGGAGATGAGTGAAATATTGTACAGATTTTTTCAGTCTGTTTTCTCCAGATGAAACGCGGCGCCGTCCAAAAAGCCACAGGATTGCCTCGTCAACCACCCCAGATGCGATCACTACGACGTCTCGCATGCCAAGCTCGATGTCTGAAAAGGTGTATCTAAACTGGATGTCTGGATGTACGAAGGTGTATGGAAAAAATGCATGTTGGATGGTCTATACGAGCTTGTTGCTCCGGTGCTACAAGCCTCTCAATTTGAATTCCAAACAGGCAAACCGACCGACCACAACCCAGCTAATCAGTTACATCAGTTACACCCAGCTAATCAGTTTTCCTCCTACACCAATGAGTGGTGTAGGAGGAAAACTTCTGACTATCATCGAAGACTATTTCTCAAATTGCCAACAGTTTGTCGAGATCACTCATTTCAGGCCCTTTCTCCTCGTAACTATCGAAGTGCCTCAAGTTTCCCTCGCAGGACTAATTGTCTTTCTAATCTACTTTCTCGATTTCTCAGAAGACCTTAAATGCCAACCTTTCAGCTTAGCAAATGATACCAAAGTGCTGATCTTTCATCCGATTGGTGAAATATTTCAACTTCAAGAGGACCTAGACAAGGTGACCGAATAGTGCAAGGTTAACTCCATGGAGTTAAACCTCGACAAGTGCCTTTTTTACGTCCACGCGCCACGCCTGTCACCACTCAAGATAAGGGTAACTTGAAGTCAGTGAATTATAATTCGAGAAAAGACCTTGCTGTTGCAAAAGCAATTAACTGTTCCTGGGGCAACCATATAAACGAGACAACTCGGAAGTCGCTATCAGTCCTGTGCATGCTCAAACGATCGTCATCCAACCTACTTGCCACCAGCAAAATTGTTTCTATTCAAATCAATGGTACTGCCCATAACAACGTATGCAAGTGCATCATGGCTTGCGGACACGACAAGTCCCTATGCTTTGCAATCGACGCAAAGCAACAAACTGGATAATAAAGTACCCTGATCTTCATTACATCGAATGCCTAAACCAGTTCAACATGCTTTCTTTGTCCTTATAGATCGAGATGAACGATTTGTTGCTCTTATCTAAGATTATATCAGACCGGTACAAGCTCGATTGGCAGAACTTCGTGTCCATCTCTGCCAGAAGAGGCAAAATATTCGATATTCCCAGCGACCGTGTAACGAACTTTTCGTAGAGGACATGCCGCTTGGCAAACCTCGTCGATGACCAGTTTCTTTTCACTCGAGGGTCTCAAAAACAGACTGCTGAATTTTTACTGGATCCATTAACGTTCCAAATACCACAAATTTTGTTCCAGTACCTACGTAGTTCTCTGCAGCAACTGCAGACGATTGACTTTCTAATTTTCGTCAAATTCCATATTCATGCGGAGAAATCCCATATTTTGATGTAAAGCCTTTATGATAATAGTAATTAAATATACGGTGATGGTTACTTTTATGCGATTTTAAACACTATTTAGTTGCCTTTTTCTAAAAAAATTAAATGTATTTTATATAAAAACTAATCATGAAAGTAAATGAGATCAAATGTTATGTCGGGAACAAGACTTTTTTCCCGTAAACAACTTTTCTTAAAAATCTTCATTTTGTTTTTTCTTAACCTTAACAAAGTGCAGTTTCCCTCCGTTTTAGCCTAGAGGTAAGGTCGTCGCATTTTCGCCTCAAGGTCTGTGATTTGAGTCTCGGCCGGATATTCTTTTATTTAAAATTTATTGAGTTTTTTCCTATGGTAAGCATTGAAAATTGAATTTTTTCTGGTAATATTGATTTGTCGCTTTTTCGTTTATCTGCTCTAGTTTTGTCGGCTTGTTGCCATCTCACGTATTTTGCTCGTTCTTTTAGCAGCTTTCATTGTATTTGGAAGATCATGTGCTGTTCATTGTATTTTCAGGTGGAAATAAAATTTTTTAAAAATGTATAAAAAAATAGTTTTTTTGTTTTGCTCAATTGTTGTCTTTTTAAATACTGTCGGCCTAGTTACATCATGGATTTTTCTTGTGCTGTAAGCAAGTTTCGTTTTTCCTGCAAGGGCAAGCGTTTTTCATTGTAGTATCAGGAGCGACTTAAAATTTAAAGGTTTTTTACAAAAAAAATTTTTTGTTGGAGTCAAATTGTCTGCTTGAAGTATGTCGGCTTTGTTTCCTCTTCGTAATTTTTTTCTTCTTTGCGTTGCCACATAACGATTTTTCCGCCGCTGATTTTCATTTCAAATTGGTGGCATATTTGTCGAGAAAGAACGAGAATGTTTTTACTCTAGCGATAAGCGAGGGCATTGCAGTCGGTTACTAGATTCTTTTCACCGTGAATAACTTTATTCACAGAAAGGTTAAAAAGTAGAATTGTCAAGTTTTAGGTTCAGATTATAATTAATTCAAATTTACCTGCGTTTGTCACAGACTTAGTCTGGAGGTAACGAATACGCCTGGGACGGCAAAGGTGCTGGGTTCGAATCTGACAGGAACTGTTTATTTTTTTCAATTAGAAATTATTATTTTATAACACTTATTGATCCAGTTTTCTCAAAATAGGTATTGATCCAGTTTTCTCAAATTAGCTTATCTCTATCGAATAAGTGTTTATCATTATTTGTCCTGGAAGTTAAAATTGAAATTTATCCAAAATTAGGGCAGATTTTTTTTTGTTTTCTTGCGTTCATTGGTGCTTTTCCAACTGGCTGTTGGCTATGTTTCTGATATAGGTTCGGATTTTGATAGATTTAATTGAGCAATGGGAGATCTAAGTTTTTGAATTCTCTGATTATTGTTGGCTCTCCCATCTACTACATAGGGTCTTTGGTCTGAGGATATGGGCATATGAAGGAAATGTATACTCAGAGAGGCCTCATGCCTTCCATAGCTGATTAGATTGCCATTATTAAATGTTATTTTAGGCTCACCACAGCCTGCAGTTAACCTATCCTCAAGCAGCAGCACCGGCAACGTCGGTGTCAGAATGTCCCCCTCATCGTGCGAGCCATCAGCGGAATTGAAGGCGAGACGAATCGACCGTTCACCGAGAAGACACGAGTCGTTCCGAGAATCGAGCGGAATCCACAGCGAAGCAGTTGATCAAATGAGCTCCGAAGATGGACCTCAGGCCCGATTGTTGGCTACAAACAACAACAACCAATTCAGTAACAGTGAGAACGGATATGTAATTGGAAATAGCGCAGGAAGTTCTGCTCTTATCGGAAACAACCATCAAGCGAACTCGCGAGCTGCGGTGGATCCGTGGATTAATTCTGACATGGCATTAACTACCCCCTCAAAGCAAGTACAAAATGAATCAGCGCTGTTAACAAAAGTAACAGTGGATGTGGGATCCAACAAAGAGGATTCGATGCTCCCCGAAAAAGAAGAGGCAATGAATGAAGTGACTGAAGATTTGACACTGAACGAAGAGAGGCTGAAAATAGCTCAGTCCCATTTCTCAGACCTGTGCAATGTATTCGCCCCTGTTGACGTGCTGTACGTTCTAGCAGAGACTAGAAGTTTGAAGGTGCTTCCTGAAAAGCAGGAATTGGCAGCGCGCATCGTGAATTTAACCAGAAATGTGGATGCTTATAAGGGATTTGTAAACTATTTTACTAGTTTGACCCACGTGTTCCCCTTTGACGAGTTCAAAAAAGAGATCATTGACAATTTCATTACTGAGGACTACACACTAGAGATGGACTTTCTCAGAAAATTGTTTTTGAAGGCAGATAAATGTGCTTGTAAATGCTGAAATGGTCAGAACGCCGCTTGTGACTTTAGCCTCATTAGTTCTATTATTCATGTAATTCTTCTATCGTTCGGAAAAATTGAACAAGTCTGAATTGAGTTTTTTTCAATTCTTTAAAAGTAGCTTGTGGAAAATCAAAGGTTTGAAGTATCGCTAAGATAGATTTTTTGTATGTATTAAAAAAAGTGTCGCGGGGGTACTAGCTAGTGGATAGTTTCAAGCACGGTATATCGAGCAAATTACACTAGCTAAAATATTTAAAAATTATTCAGTGAAGAGATTTCTTGTGTTTTGAGGCTGACTAGATTGAGTATTACAAAACTTCACCAACAGTTCGGTTGACGCTATAGAAAACGCTCCACTGATTTGCAACAGTTATTATCGGATAGTTAACCTAAGTGGGGACTAAGAAATTAAACTCTGATATTGCCGAGAAGTTTGACCGATAAAATTTCTTCCCATAATCGCCCCAAAATTAGATCACTTCCCCTTCGAAAGTGTGGCATCGTTGTCGCGGTGGCATCATTTTTAGAAACCCAAGACGTAGGCTGCTGCATTCATTTGGATGGCGGGGGGGGGGGGGGGGTTGGTTGGTGGTTGGTTGAATGGAGGATTACTGAACAAAATCTATACAAAGTATATAAATTATGAAACCGGCATTTTTGAGCACTATTTTACATGCACCATCACATTGCAAAGCTCGTTTAGAAGCATGCTCCCAAAAGTTTTCCTGTGGTATTTGAAAAACTTAAGTATTTGAACTGACAGAAAAGATCAGAAAAGTAAATAAGTTATTTAAGGCAATGTAAACGTTTTTAAGAAGCTGTTCAAGCTCAATTTTGATTTTTTTGCGGTTTGAATTGGTTTCCTTCAATGAAATTGAAATTGAGTTGCTGACTCTTTCCAATAAAAAAATGGTAATTGCGCCAAACAAAACGTAATTACTCTTCTAAAAGATAGGCCTTCTAATTGCAATATAATTTTCAGCCTTTGATGGTGGTGAAATGTGCGAGTCATTTGTTTATCAATTACAGTTCCGAATTAGTATTGTGTTGACCGACCAATCAGGTTTTGTTGATTCTGCTCTCGGGCTCCTTCTGCTCTTGGAATTCGTTATTGTATCGAAACTTATTCTCCATTTTTCTTCTGAACCGACCGCCGGATTTTTTTTTGTTGATATCGGCAACCTGATTATATTCATTTTTGCAAGTTTTATGAACTAGTTCTTAATTTTAAACTTAACTTTTATTGAAAATTTGTAATTGTTAAATTTCTTTGAAATTGTTAAATTTCTTTTTAATTCGATCATTAGCGCAGAGTCGACAGGGGCTAGGGTGTTTTTGTTTCGCCCGATTTTGACAATTTCAAAGAAGGCTCAGGGGTATAAAGGTGGTAGCATATTGAAATCCATTCAACCCAGAAAATTTGTTCAGTTTGTCTAGTGCTGAGAAAAGTTCATCCGACTTTTTCCGTTTTCATGTTAAATTACGATATTTATGGAAAACTGAAAATTCGCTTTTTAATTCTTCTTCATTTTAAAGATTCTTTTATAGCTCTTTTTTCCTGTTTTTACGCAATCGCCCTTACTGAAATGAATCAACAGGAGTTAAAGAAAGAACTGAATTTATCAATTTTTTTTATTTTTTAGGCCTGGCTTTTTATTTCTTTTTGGTAAAAACATTCGGCTATCAAGTTTGAAGCGACCTTGTTAACTGGTATATATGTACTTGTCCTATAGAAGGTGTCAGTAAATTGGTGATTGATTTCAAGGATTATTACCCGTGCTATAAGCAACAGCTACTTTTTCCGTTACTTGTAGCATATTGAAATCCATTCTACCCAGGAAATTTATATAGTTTGTCTAGTGCTCAGAAAAGTTCATCCGACTTATTCCGTTTTGATACTTATAACGAGATTTGATGAAAGCATGAAAATTCTCTTTTTAATTTTTCTCCATTTCTTGATTTTGTAGATTCTATTACAGCTCTTTTTTCCTGTTTTTGCACAATCTCCCTTACGCTGAAATTAATCAACAGCAGTTAAAGAATGAACTGATTTTATGATTTTTTTTATTTTTAGGCCTGGTTTTTTATTTCATTTTGGTAAAACATGCGGCTATCAGCCTTACAGCGACGTTTTTTACTGGTATACATATTTTTGTATTATAGAAGGTGTCAGTAATAAGTTCTTGATTTCAAGTATTATTGCTCTTGCTATAACAGGGTGGCCACGTTATCAGTGCTGTCAGTGCCAAATCAGTGCAAAGCGTGATCTATCAGTGCCAGCAAATGAATATCAGTGCCGGTTTTTTTTCATTGCGCTTCTCAGCTAAATCAAAAAACGAAGCAGGCTTACAATATAAGACTTTTTTCAGGTAGCATTAGCCGCCGACACTTTTCGAAATTACTGATTAGGTATGAGAGTCGTAAATTAATTTTAAACGTTTGTTTTTTGAATGATAAGCTATTTAAGCTGGCAAGTTAACATTCTATTTGTAATTTTCTTAAGCTTAGAAGTCTCAGGTTTCAGCAGGTTGTTTTAAGGTATTTAAACATGATGGTTGTGGAAACAAATTGTTACTGTGTTGCATAAACATAAAGCTCATAGCTGTTTTAGTGTGCCAAAAACTGCAGAAAAGTGGTGCTGTTACAGAGAGTAAGTAGTTCATAACCCAAAAAATGACCAAAATCTTCATGCATGTTCTTCGAAGCTTCTGTGTCCAGCTGATTGGCGTAGAGAGCTCAGCTAGTAGCTCAAGTATTTCCATATTATGTATATTTCAAGCAAATGTTTCCCTAAAAATGATAGCCGGTGGATGTTCAAGTAGCACAGAATTATCTGACCTCAACGGTTGAATTAAAATCTTTAAACTTTAAAAATCGTTTCCCCTGAGTTTCTTTTTTGTTGTCCCAGAAAAAGCGATTGAGTTAGTTAAAATACGCAACATGGAGGTGTATGAATAGCTACAAAATTGCATAAATCTCAGTACACTCCAATTGAGAGCTCATTATCTCATCGTGTGATTTGTAAATCGCGTGTCTGAAATTAATCAGATAAATTTTGTGTTTTTTCATCACTGAGATTTTTCTTATTTTTGGGAACCCGAATCACTGCAATTAGGGCTTTAATATGATACCACATTTTAGTGCGGTATCAGTTAAGTGCTGGAACCGAATTTGAACTGAAAAAAACGACCAACCACAATACTATTGCGATTCTTGCAAAAACTGAAAGATGTATATTCGTTTAGAATTGAATTTTTGCAGTTTAGTGCTGGAACCGTTTAGTGCTGGAACCGAATTTGGGCTGAAAAAAAAACGACCAACCACAATACTATTGCGATTCTTGCAAAAACTGAAAGATGTATATTCGTTTAGAATTGAATTTTTGCACTAAACTGAAACGTACATCAGTCACGGCAGCATCGAACAGCAAAGTTTTTTGTATTAACAGTCAGCTCCTTAGTTACTTCTGGGAAATATTCACCTATTAGGTTGAAGTCCAATAGTTAAGTTGCATCAGATTGACTCGTTAGTAAACATAAATGGAGATGCAAAATACGCAGTAAACTCATTTAACAGGCTCTGCTCTGCCAATCAATTAAACCTTAATGTTTTCTCCATTTGATATATAATATAACAACGCTGAAACTTAAACAATATTGGTTTACACCAGTAAACTATAAATCTGGTATCAAAAGTCAAATTTGAGTAAACGTTGAAATATCAAGACCGCACTTTAGGATCTGTTTTGGTTAACTTGACCAAAAATGAATCGAACGTTTCTTTTTGTGCTTGTAACAATTTTCAAGTTCAATCCTATTCTAAGTTTGAATGTGCTGGGAATTTCTTCATGTTTCACTGGACATCTTACCCCAATGGTTGGTATATTTCGTGCACTTAGGGCTAAGGGTCACGAAGTAGATGTTTTAATGGGCGCCGATTGCTGTGACTCAAAAGTTGCAGGGTTATTCAAAAACGTTTCGAACTGTTATTTTACACCCATTTTTGAGTCACATACAATTGTCGCGAATACCCAATTTGAAGGACTGATGAATTTGAAGGAGTTATTCGCAGAAAATGGAACCAAAATAGCTTTCCATCAAACGCACAAATTTTTGACGGAACATCCGGATTATGACGTAATAGTTTCGGATTACGTTCTGTTGGGATCGTATCTGGCCGCCGAGTTACATAGTATTCCTGTTGTGGCTACTTTTGGAGGTCCTTTCGTGCAGCTGTTGCAACACCAGCCTTTGGTCAAACGGAACATCATATACATGCCCGAAACTGTTTTGCCTGACTTTGCCGTCGAAATTATAGGACTGGTTGGTAATATTGTTTGGCATTTTCTTGTGTCCGAAGAAGTATACAAAGCAGTTGGCGATATTCAGGAAGAATTTGATATGGTTCCAAAAATACGAAGCTCAGGGCTTAATTATGGTCTTCCTTTTTATTACTTTTATATGCACACGAATCTTATTCACACCGGACCGCCTGACGTTTTCCTTCCGGGTCTTGAGTATCTGGAATTCAAAACAAATGCTCATCACGTTGGCTTCATTCCAGATGAAACATCTTTCAAGTCTTTGAGCCCAGAGCTGGAATCTTTTCTCCAAAAGTCGAACAAACCTGTAGTTTATATGTCACTCGGAACCGTTTTCAAAATAGAAGTCTCAAAATTGGAAGCACTTCTTGCTGATTTTGCAGACCAGGAGATGTATTCTGTCATTTGGGCTGTATCTGAGGGCTATGAGGAGTTGAAGAGTAAAGAATTGGATGGTGGAAATGTACTCCTGGTTACAAAAATAGCACAGTTTTCGTTACTTATGCTTGAAAAGGTGCAGGTCTTCATAACCCATGCAGGTATGTTAACGCTTTTTAAATATACTTTGAATCAGGAGCGGATTTGGGAGTTTTTTGCATTTTCAAATTGGTCAAAGTTCAAGGATCTGCCACCTCATCGAATGTAGGATCACTCCCCAATTCGTTTTATTACAGCATTACGTGACTCCCATTCCCAAATGTTGCGGAGACGAGTTTGGGTAAAGGTACGTTCCGCCCATGTGAAACATGGATGGCCAGTTGCTGCGCAAGTAGCACAGAATGTTCGAATCAAAATGCTTTAGGTAAAACAAATCAAAATGGTGGAAAATATTTTCATTTACAATGAGGTTTTTTTCATACATTTTTTAAAATTAGAATTACCGCTTCTAGTCACAATCCAGAGGATAAATTCTCTGCGCCATAGTTTCTTCCCTTCACCTTGTGAAGTGGTCAGAACACAAGGGGTACGTAATTCCTGTTTGATAAAAACAAGGTCTTTTGAAAATGTACGGGATTTGTTTTTTTCTCGTTTTTACCTAGTTTTTTTTGAGATGCTTAGAAAAGGTCTAAATAAAAGATTTTCCAAAAAAATGGCATCAATCAAAAGACCGGTTTTTCCCCTACGGTCCCGTACCTTCTGCTAGTTTGTTTTTTTCTTACCCCCACGTTCTACGGCCTTCGAATATTTCAGTGGGAGAACTTTTTTAGGATGTTTTTTCATTTTCTCGGCAACTTGCTAAATCTTAAAATAACGTTTCAATCGAAAGAGCTTGTCATCGCGATCTCTCCTGCATAAACGGCTACGCATTAATTTTTGTACACAAAGAGTAATGACCTTAATAAAAGCCTCTTGATATTTCGAAGTTTTGTGAAACTTTCTGATTGTTCTCAAAAGCAACCCTTCCAGTTCTGGGGTTAAGAGGTCAATCGAAATCGAAAGAAGTGGTTGTGAAAATTGTCTATGCATTAACGGCACTTCTCTTGTGAAAATTTTCTATGCATTTCTCGAGAACTACCCTCCGAAACGTAGTTCAATCGAAAGAAAAAATTTTCGTATGTTTTTCTTGCATAAGCAGCTACGCTATATTTTCTGTTGAAAAAATTGAAGCCTTAGGCAAAGGTCAATTTTTTGACATCTTGACCTTTTTTAAAACAAAACTTAATGACTTTCCCGAAAACTACGCTCCCAAATATGGAAATTAGAATTCAATCGAATGAGTTGGTTTTGATTTTCTTCTCAATATAATTTTCTATGCCCTTGTTTTAGGAGAAAATGTTGCAGACGCCAAAAAGGCGTTTTCTACCATTTCGATTGTTTTTGTGAAATCTTTTGACCTTTCTCGAAAACTCCCCAAATATGAGATTAAGATTTCCAATCAAAAGAACAAGTTGTGTAAATCTTTTTTTCGAGTGCCCTTATATAATGAAACAGCTGTGGTCCTAAAGTAAGCTAATCAGCAGCTAAAATGCACTGTTTTCAGTTTCGTGAATTATATATCGTAACAAGAATTAAAAACAACATTCACGTTTGAATCGATGATATGTTTCGCAGGACGTCTATTCATTTATTTTTTTTTTGGCTCAACAAATTTTCTTCCCCCGCTCCCCGCACCTAACCAATCAAAAGAAAAATAATTTATCAATTTATTGGATAACAATGCAAAAATTCCGATGACAACCGAGCATTTTTTATCAAAGTTTTAACGGGCTGATATCTGATATCAATCCAAGTTGTTTCTCGGACCTTCGAAGAAAGTGACAGAATATTTAACCGCACGCTGGTACTTTTCTCCCGACAAATTTTGAATTTTTAGCTAATAATGTTTGACGAGATTTTTTCATAGATCAATTGAAAAATATTGTTTTATTGAGCTCAAAAATCAAAAGATATATCACCTGTGATCATTTTTCAAAATAATGGGGGTTTAAAGATCGCCAATTTGGGACAATTAATGCGCGATGTATTTCGCGCTACTAACGTGGAAGTGGCGATATAAGCGGTCAAATATATACTCAGTTTCATTAATTTCCTTTCTCTCAAAAATACTGCATTCTGATTAGTTGACAATTCGCGAAAAAAAGTTTGCGAAAAAAAAAACGAAATAACCATGTGAATAAATCATTTTTTTTATTGTTCGCATAATCCATTTTTCCTCCCCTCAAGGGCCCCTAAATAAAAATGTTCATTAAAAGTGTGAACTTATTTGGAAGTTTCATTGTAGCATTGGAAATTGATTAGCATCTGTTCTCTGCTTTAAATGTGGCTAGTGTTTGGGACGTAATAAGCGTACGTGGCTGAGTAGTTAATGGTAAAAAATTTTAGAGCCGAATGAGTGGTTAGACTCTTAATCTTTAGGTCGCATGTTCTAACCTTAGACGTAGCCGATTTTTTCTTAAAATTAATTTGAAATTTTTTTTCTAATTTTTGTTATTGCACTTTATAGAGCTGCTTTTTGTCGTCTTCTCGCTAATGTGTGCGAAGCAAAGCATCGCCACTGTGTTAAGTTGACAAATTTCACCGATAAAACATACATTAATTTGGTGATATATTGTAAAAGTGGCATATAGAAGTCAGATGCAACACAGCTGAAAAAGATTGGCTTCCACCGGGATGCGAACCTGGTTCTATTGGTCATCAGTCAGATCTGTTAGCCTGAATACCAAACATACCACGATCTGTGCAGAGAATCGAGCAATGATCACTTTCTGTTTATGCGCATCTGTTTGTTTATGCGTAAGATATTTTTTCCCGGAGATGAAGAACACTCCACTCCGTTGGTTGATAAGTCCTTATTTTTTTTGTCGTTACTTAACTCGTTGGTACACCGGTGAACACCTCTGAAGCAGAAAGAGTTCGAGTCCATCTAGGAGCGTTTTATTGCGGAAAGATTATTAAGTATCGCTACCACTTACTTTTTGAGAATACGGTGATTTTGGTGCTCTTCAAATCTGTGATAAAATGTTCAGAATATTTTGCAGTCCAGGAGGTTTGAGCTCAGTGCTTTTGCTTAATTTCAGTTCCTAGTCGCATCTAAACGGATAAAAAAGTTTTCGATTGGCTATAAGATACCAAAAAAAATCGTTTTTGGAGGAGTTTGATAACGTTTTTTGACATAAAGGTCGTTTTTTTATGTTTTTTTAATTGATTATCTTGAAATGTTTTTTGACGCACCTTCTTATTTGTATTTTGCCACCAAAAGAGCCTTAAGAGTGTTGTAACGCATAGTTGGCCGAAAAGGGATGTAAAATTGAAGCTAATATGGATCCGGAAATCTTTGGGCTGCAAAGAGGTATATATCTTGTTTGTTTGTTTTTTCAATGACGAGCTCGTAAGAGAGCAAATCATTTTTTTTTAATTCGGATAAGTTTCACTCGGAATAACTGGAGCATTTATTTTTGAATTGAGGTGCCAACTCGCTGCAAGAAGGAATCTACTCCACCACGCCTATGTTAGTTTTCCCTGGATTCGGTGACCAACCCATGAATGCTTGTCAGCTAGTGGATCTCAATTTGGCTTTGCCTCTAATCGAACTTAACTTTAGAGAAATTTCACGGAAACTTGGAATGATTCTCGATAGCCAAACTTACACAGAAATGAAGGGTAGGCTCAAGAAAAGTAAAGATTTAATGACGTCATTTGGTGGCTATAAAAAAGCGGCTGAATTGGTTGAGCAAGTTCAACGAGGCGTGATCAAAGTCATCGATCCACCTGCATTGGTTGATTTAAACTGGTTCCTGGTTTATATTCCTGCAATGATGTTCGGAGTGTTTGTTCTGCTGCCGACAATATTGTTTTGGACCTGGATGATACGAATTTGCTGCCGAAATGATAAAAACAAAAAAGATTGAATCCAAATTTCGGTATTTTAAAATATCCTAGTTATTAATAAATTGACGGATTAATTTTAATTATGACAGTCAAACTGATTTGATTTTGTTGCGTTGTGTAACAATTTAAATTGACAGGTATGCATTGCGCACCCTATGGTTCACATGGTTTCTCTGTGGAAATTCATTTGTTTTTTTTTTACTGTTGATTCAAAGTGACCGCTTGAAAATTGGCTTTAAATACAATATAAAAACCTCAGTTACTTCGGAGAACAAGATGAACTTCGTTAATTCTTAAATTGAAGCAGGGGCAGAGTTTTTGACTAGGAAATTTTTAAATATTATTATAGCACCCCCCCCCCCCCCCCTCCACCCTTAAAGAAAGAAAGAAAGAAAGAATTTATTTCTTCAGATATGATGCATACAAAAACATTTAACAATCAAACATGCGAACAAACTCTACAAAGCATCAATTAATCATCTGAAGAGGATAGACAAAGGTCAAAGATATGACCACTGGGTGTCTACCCTGAGTATAATAACAAACAAGAACTGAAGACCAGTATAAGTGAATTGAAGACAAGTCTAATAAAATTAGAAGAGCCTAAATTTAAGTGTTACCTTTTGTGTTATGGTGTTGCAATTGTGCCTTTGTTATGTTCTTCAAAAACCCTGGTATCTCGAAATTTCTAAACCCTTGAATCAGCTCATAAATTGAGGTCATAATAATGTACGATTAAGGCGCAAATGGATGGTCCTTGACAAACGGGACGGTTTTTGACCTCGCAGCTTTCATTTCCCGCAGCTTTTTGGCCTCGCAGCTTTCATTTGACCTCGCAGCTTTCATGTCATTGTTAAGATCTTCAGTTGACCCCCGCCTTCAGAAATACTTCGAAGATTGAATTTTCGAAAGAAAATCAATAATTCATAGTATCAAACTTTGAATCTTTTGAGCAGAGATCTGAAGTTTCCGGCGCAAACTGACAATGTTAGCTTAAGTAGCTGTTAAACGTATAGTTGTTGGTTTAAAACCAATTTATGTCCTGGAAATAATTGAATGAACCGTTCAACTGCAATTTTTTTTTGCTTCTCTCTGACTTTCAGTGAATTCAAGCAAATATTTTAACTCAAGTCTTTGTAGATGTCATGAAATTATTAAGCAGGATAAAATTAGCTGGAAAATGGTGGAAAACAAATTAAATTAAACACAAATATAAAAATATATGCTCAGTTCAAATGTAAGCAAGTCATTAATTAATTTTTCAATCATATTTGCAAGAAATAATATTAACACGTGTAGTATGAGGTTTTTCAAAATATTACAGAAAATTAGTTTGTAGGCAAAACTTGGGACGCTCGGTGATAACTTCAGCTTGCGGCCCCCCATTTGTTGATTTCTTTTTCGGCTACTTTAGACAAGACTTTCATACACTGAGCAAGTGTTTGTTCCTTAGTGTCGTTTTCATGGATGAACCAACAGTCATTTCCATGTGTGCATTTTCCAGCTGCGAAATTCTTGCACTTCTGCGTTTTGTACTTTTGGTGCACTTTCGGAGCACGCAGCTCACTCTCACCGTGCGCAAACTGACACTGCTCTTCGAAGTAGCAGAATCCTTTTCTGAAGGCTCTGCACATTTGTGTCTTGAACCTGTCAGGGTTCAGAAGTGCTCTTTGCTTCACTTCGCCTGCTTCGTTTTTTGTTTCAAACAGGAGCGTCTTTTCTGTTGCTGTTTCTTTTCTCTTGATTACGTAACTGGAATTAGGTCTTTGAGCCAAAATTTCAAGCATCTCGACAGGATTGGATAATTGAAGATTGAAATTCCCAGAGTATCGCGGAGGATCGAAAACGTCGTCGCTCAATGAGTCCATATCGTTGAATGCGTTTGGGATCTGACTTGAACCTTTTTCGCTGTGCGCCTCCGACTCGTATCCAGATGATGAAGATGACTCATCGTCCGATATGACACTTGAAAGAGACCATGCGAGAACATCGGAACTGTAGTCGGAGTCCTGAAACAGACCAACTATTTGGAACTACTTAAAAACCTCAATTTAGTTTACACATGTGAGTTTTAAATAAGTAATGATCCTGGAACCTTCTACAGGTCAAATAAGTCACACGTTTTTGGTGTCCGTTTCTATCAGTTCGGTACCTGTTTTGAAAAAAAGTTAGTGACAGGTACTATGTAAATAATACTTAAATTTTATTAAGCACTTTTTTTGTAAAAATCCATTTTTTTGACGGGCACCAAAAAAATCCATTCAGACAGTTTTATTTGATAATTTTGCTCGTATATAACTAGTTTTCAATGTGAATCATAAGATTTTTGGTCTGTTTTGTGTCTGAAAAGATCTCTTTTTTGACTTGACTGAAACTTGCCGGAAATTGATCTGAAATTGCGATGGAAGACGAGCTGCTGCTGGATCGAAAACTTTTAGCTATGTATCTAGGGTGAAACATGTTGTATATTTCTTCGGTTTAAGCTACCAAGATAATTTTTTCGGAATGTTCAGGATCAGATAAAACCTAGTTTTAATAAACGTTTTGGATGAAGATCAAAATCTGGACTGAATCTTAATAGCTTGAGATTCGAGTGTTGTAAAAAACGCTATGACAACTATGCACTGGTATGAATTTTTGGTTGTTGATTAAACACAGATTCTTAAAAAAGTGATTTTAAAAAATGCAACTCATTACCTTGATTGTTTATTAATTCCGAGTTTTTCACGCCACTTAACAATAATTTTTCGCACCTTGGAGCGTACGATCATTTCTTTCAAGTGTATCACAGAATTAATTAGTATGTCAGCTAATCCGACCATTAGTGATTGTCGCAATGAGTACTGGCTTATGGTGTGAAAGTTATCACGTTAGTGTATTAAAGGATCAAAGTAGCATCATTTTGTGGATCAAAGTTCATAACCAATTTTGAATCTGTTAATTGATACGTTGTTGCATATGATGTACTTTGGTTTGGCAATTAATCAAAGCTGGGATCTGGGTGCATACCAATCACCCAATGGCGCACTGCAAAAGGCCAAAACCTGCGGACCTCATAAAGAACTGGAAATTCTTGGAAACAGGCACGACAATTCTTAAAAAATAAAAAGTCGCACAATCCAAAAAACGATTTTTAGATTTGGAAATTTCGGTCGGCCAAAATTAGATGTCTTTAAATAGTACAAAGGGGGACCTTAATCAGATAATATGGCTTGAGAGGCTAAAAAAATCCAAGGATTAATCCGACCTTCACGTGAATAGATTCAGTCCATCTGAGCCGCTTCAAAACTTCTCGGAGGTTTTGCAGTTGATCAGGTTAATTATGTCTTTCTATGGATGAAACTGCCAAAAACTTCTATGGATGAAATCGCTAGAGACCTTGACTCTAGAAACAGTGCTATTTCTCATAACCCGATATGTTCTGCATCAAGCAATCATATGAAGTTTCAGGCAGGTGCAAATTCTATACTCGTCACTCAACAAGAGAAGTGTTTGTTCGCTCATCGAGTAGAGCGCTACACAAATAGTATACAAATCAATTATTTTTTTATTGCACAAATCACGTTTCTACAAATTTTGCCCGCACCAGGGAAGAACTCTCAATGATCCGACTGATCTTGAAGTTATGTGGAAAAATTTTTGATTAAAAAAGATTAATTTCAAAAAAAAAGAAAACTGAGTCTTGATTTTGTTTCTTACTTGCGAGAGCAAGAGACTTGTTATCGGGAACTGGACTTTTAAACCGTAAGCAATTTTTCATACATTTTCTGCTGCTCAAACATGCTAATTTTTCTGAAAATTAGAGTTAAAATACTTCTTAAATCAATTGAGGTAGTAATTAAATTTTTTAATATAGTTTTTGAAAAAATTAGGATTTATTTGGACTTCCGATTTTCTTCCTAATTTTTGTCGGTTGATTTTCAGTTTCTTTTCCAAATGCAATTTAAAAAATCTGGTGCGCTTTTCAAGCATATTTTTTTTTGCAAAGCTTATGTTTTTTGTAATGATTCAAATAATTTTTTCGTGTTTCATAAAACATTTGTAATGAAAATGTTTGGGGTTAGGTTTATTATTCAATTGATCTGAGACAAAAATGTTTTTTCTTTTTTCTCAAAAACTGAATTTCTCTCAAAAACTAATTTTTTTATATGCAAAAAGGTGTTAACAATAAGAAAAGCGCTCTCTGCCCTGTGTGATTGCATAAACGCCTAGTTATCGATATACTTTTTTCGGGGTACTCAGGATATGATTAAACCTAGTTTTTTAAACATTTTGGATGAAGATCAAAATCTAGACTAAATTTTTATAGCTTGAGATTCGAGTGTTGTAAAAAGCGTTATGACAACTATGCACTGATACCAAATTTTGATTGCTGATTTCACACTGAGATTAACAAAAAATGATTTTCAATAAATGCAGCTCATTACCATGATTGTTTATTAATTCCGAGTTTTTCACAAAAAGTATTTGTTCAATTTGCGAAAAGGGGTTAACAATGAAAAAACTGTTCGCTACCCGTTCTTATTGTTTAAAAGCCTAGACTCTTTTTTTATCGTATTCCAGTTTACAGCTTTCGATAAAGTCTGGGGGGAGTTTCTTGAAACAATTTTTTGAGTTTTTTTTTCAATTTCAAACAATACACTTCAAAACATGAACTTCAAAGACCAATAGAGAGAAAACGTTGCGGTAAGCTCCCCTGCATTAGCGGTTGTGCTCATATTTTGCTTACATTTTTCTGGTGTAAATTGTTGTTGTGATTTGCTAACCGTTTTTTTGAACTTTATCAAAACTGAAATGTGAGATTGTGAGTGCAATCGAATAAACAGCAATCATGTTATATGAATTTCTTCTGCATAAATGGCCATGCCAAAACTTCTAATCTAAAAAGTTTTGGCCCCCAAGAAAGTCAATTTTTTGATTTTCTGACCGTTTTTTGAAAATTTTTACCTGTTTCAAAAAACCGCACTCCCTAATCAAATTTTAACGTCAATCGAAATAATGAGCTCCTAGAAACTCCTGTGCATAAGCAGATACTCCCAATTTTCTTTAACACAGAAAGTTATA